AGAATGAGCCAATGTGAGGACAGAATTTCAGATATAGAAGATAAGATTGCAATTAGTGACCAGGAAAAGAAAATATTCTTTAAAATACTAAGGGACAATGAGAAATCAATCCAGCAGCTGCTAGATGATGCAAAGAAGGATAACATAAGACTGGAGTCAATGAAGACACAGGAGAGAGTGCTGATGACATAAAACAACTTTTCACAGAAGTGATGGCAGAAAACTTCCCAAGGAGGGGAAAAGGACTTGACATACAGATAAGGGAGGCATATAGGACTCCAAATAGCCTTGATCAAAAAAAAAATCTACACATAGGCATATAATGGTTAAGATTCCAGAAACCCAACCGAAGAACCAACTTCTACAAGCAGTGAGAGAAAAGAAACAAGTCACATACAAAGGAAAGCCCATCAGAATCACAGCAGACTTCTCAGTGCAATCCCTCAAGGCAAGAAGAGCTTGCAGTGACATATTACAAGCCCTAAAGGAAAACAGCTCCCAACCTAGATTAATGTACCCTGCAAAACTATCTTTCAAAATTGATGGAGAAATAAGATACTTTCATGACAAAGAGCACCTCAGGAACTTCATGAATACCAAACCAACACTGTATTCTTAACAAGTCAAATTTAAATAATAAATAAAGGAAGATGGGAGAGTGGAGAGTCCATTCTGAAATCTATTTTTTTAATCTTTAAAAGAGGCTTCTGTCTATATTAATGTGAAATTAAGATCCTTGTCCAGTTGCCTGTTATTACTCTTACTTTATGCATCTTCCACAGGAAGGATCTTATTCCAGGTATGGCCCTGTGGATTTCATCCCATTAGAAAGGATTATTATTTGAATTGCCTCTTAAAGGAATGGATTTTGCTGACTTAACGTTGGCAAGCAGTTACCTGTTTCCTGTTGCCTGGAAATATTGGTCAGGAAGAGAGTAGGAATCTTTATCCCCACCCTATGATTTTAACCATCTTCAGTTTCCATTCAAGAAGGGAGATGGTGAAAATGGGAAGGGGTCCCAGCAGACAGGGGCGAGGAGAGGGAGGGAAGTACATACAATAAGAGATGGTGTGTACAGGAGCCTAATAACCTCAATGAGTGTAAACATTATTTGTCATAGACTTGAGATAAGAATAATAATAACAAAAATGAAAAAGGGGAGACAGGATTTAGAGATTTTGGGAGAGAGGTGAGTGGGAAGGGGATTAAAACAAGAAACAAGCTGTATTGCGTACATGTACCCACTCCCCAAGATGAAAATAAATTGCATGGACTCCAAAACAAAAGCATACTAACAAAAAGAAAAAGAAAAAAGCAGATGGTGAGAAAAGCGTTGAGACTCAGCAATCTTTCCTTGACGCTTGTTTCTGGTCATAGTAGATATTCACAGAAAGGAAACAAAACTTAGGTAATGTATTTTGTGCCACTTAATATTTTGTGGAGAGGAGCAATGCTTTAAAATTTTGTCAGAAATAGACTCTAAGACAAATAGCTGGAATTCGCTACTTTGCCCCACCTCAACCCTCCAAGAGAAAACATATTCCACAACTCTCCCGAGCAGTTTGTGGAGGTTTCTCCATAGTGAAGTTACCGTGGAAAGAGTAACCAAACCAGGTATCCCCGGGCACTGGGCAATTTGGCAAGGCTAAGTCTCAAACAACAAAAGAAATTTTTGAAAGGGCCTGGGGATGTGGGGATGTAGCTCAGTGCGAAAGCCTCAATCCTTAGGTATCCCCCCACACACACACACACAGAAGAGCTGCAGATGCGAGGGTCGGTGCACAAATGCAGGGGCACGAGCCAGGCGCTGGGCAACTGTCTAGCCCCTGGGCGTAGTGCGGCCTCCGCGGCCTGCGGTTCACCAAGGTAACAGAGCCAGGGCCTCGGCGACTCCGGGCTTCGCTTGGGGCGCCGGTGAGTCGGCGGGTGGATCTCTTTCCTGGGCGCCCGCTTCTCTGGCTGCCACCTGTGCCGCCCCGCGGAGCAGCCACAGAGGGACGTGGTGCCGCCGGGGTGACACACAGGGGTCGGCCTGGGGTCGGGGTTGCTGTCGCGCCCCGAGTGGACGGGAGGGAAGGCCACCCCTCCGCGAGTTTGGGAACGCTTCCGGGGCTAGGTTAGGGACGCAGAGTCTCCCTCCGCTGGCGGCTCAGCTGAATTCACGCCATCCAGAACTGCTTCCCTTAGGTCTTACTATTCTTTTAAAATAATTATTTCTGCCTTTAATTTGCTTACAAGGCCGCCTTGTGGTAACTCACGTATTATTCTCTTGGACCTGTGCTGATGTCTTCCTTCCATACTGCATTTCTATCTCCCGCAACTATCCGCTCAATCAGCTCAAATACTCTGTGTGAGAGGCTGGAATCTGATTTCTTTATTTACTCTAACCCACCACAAATGAAGCAAGTCGCTCCAGATCCTCCCTCTCCAGACAAGAACGTGGTGCTCAGAGCCGAATTGACCAGTCAAACGCAGCCCCTTCAGACCCTGGACACGTAAGGGTCTCTTTACTCCCAATTCGAAGCATTTTTAAATTTCTTTCTCGACATTCATCCTCTGGTCAATAAATATTTGTGAGTTCACTTGGTATCTTCCCACTCCTCTTTATTGCATGGCCTGTTGTATATTTCTTTGGGCATCTTAACCCAAATGTAACATTCTTGAGGTAATCCAGTCCCCATTTTTTTCTTGAACCTGCTATGGCAATAGGTTTTAGAGTACCACTGACCGAATTTAAAACTCAGACACAAATGGATGACTAATAAGAAGATGCTTCCAACAATCTGTAAAATTTTCCGCTATTTATGTTGGATTATTGACCAGATATTTATATGCGAGGCTAGTACATTTCTGTCTTAGAATATAATACTCTTTATTATATAATTGTATTTTATGGCTTTATCACAAACCTTATATATCTAATTTCTGGACCTGTCAAACATATGAGTGTGATTATCAGTCCCTAGGTGCCGCTCCATTGTGTTGGTGACCTACAACCCAACGTTCTCTCCTTTGCGCCCACCTCAAGTTCAGACTCAGCCAACCTGTGACTACATCCTCTATGTTTCTCTCCTTTTCTGTTCTCTACAGTAGCAAATGCTATCAGCCTACAGTCGCCTTTCTTTTTCCCTTTGGAAATGGACCCCATATTCCCACTTTGGCCTCTTCCTCCAGGTTAAAGTTGTAATTTCCAAGAGCTCTGGACTCACCAAATTCCCAACTTGTACCTAAAGAGAAAATCTGGAAACATCCTGGCCCAGCTAGCTGGTTTACCTGTCCTGAGACCTTTCACTTTGGGACATGGCTGCAGCGATTAGCAACTTGTCAAACCTTGTGAATGGAGTGGAAAACAATTTCTTGAGTGAAAGGAATCCCTTTTTCTTTTAATGGACAATTTATGATAAAAAATAGAAACAATATTTGTCTACTAAGACTTTATCTAGGCATATGGAACTGAAGTTTATTGAGGATATTCCCTGCCAAAATGCTAGATTCTGGAGTCTAGACGAAAGGGAAAAGAAGATATATAATAAGATGGGAAAAATGGAGAGAGTAAGTAGTTGAATTTAGTTGGAGTTGAAAATAGAGGATTGATCATGTTATAAACAGTGGATTATGTCTGTAAGCTGATTGTTACATATCGAGTGCTCATGGCCATAGTGTCCTCACATCTGTTTTCTGCACAATACCAGTAATGAAACATATAGCATCGCATTTTAAAATAGACATTGAACTGTCCATCTCAGTGATAGTTCAGTGGAAATGAGGAGCACCGAAATGAGAATAAACATAGGCTATTTATTCAGAGCTTGATAAAACAAGGAAATCAGCAGCCATGGCTTGGATTGGGCAGAAACCCAAGGGCAGATAGAGGAGTGGGCCAGTTTTGCAGTGAAGGAAAGGAAAGGTGGTTGTTGACAGGGAAAGCTGGAGGCGGGCAAACTGGAAGCAGGCATCCTAGATGATTGATCTGGGAGCTCTTCTGTTTTCTTTGGTTCTAAATTGGAATGGGAGGAGCAAACTCAGGAAAGCTGGCATCTGTTGACACAGTTTTGACTTTTCTGGGATGATTACTGCAGAATTAAAATTTGGCTTTCTGAAGTGGTAGATGCAAGGGTTCTGGATTGCACTTCTATTGTCACATGAGGTCTGGCCACTGTCTCTATGTTCAGTTCTCTTAATACTCATGCAAATTCATCTTCACATTACAAAATGAAAATTTGGGCAGGTTAAGTATTGTTTTTATGAACATCTAATTTGTTAATCAACCTTAGTTCACTGAATTTAAATCACTACTGTTTATTAAGTGCTTATTTTATGCTAGTCACTGGTCTAAACAATCTGCATATATTACCTATTTAATCCTGACTGTGAAGCATGACTATTTTCACCATTTTCCACAGGAAAAGACTGAAACTCAAAGAACATTAAGTACTCTTCCAAAGGTTGTGTAGCTCGTAAGGTGGTCTTGGAATTTAATCCCATGTCTAATAGATTTAAAAGCTATGTTCTTTGGTACTTTGTTAAATTGCCTAGTAACCTTCTGCTTTCTTCACCATCTTGGTCTATTTTATGTCAGGGTATACCTACAATGGTTGTCCTCTAGCCTACTTTTCCGGGTACTTATAGGATGTTGAGGTAGAGATTAGAAGATCTTTTTGCATGGACTGAAGGGATCCAAGCTAGCCTTAGATGCTGGCAACATATTGAATTTAACCATAATCCAGTGAAATGGATGAGATGCCTAGGAATGTTACATCAGAGAGCAAAAGAGTGGTGACCAAATGAAGAAAATGAAAGAACATAATTAAGAGGGTACAGTTTGTATGGAAATCAACTATAAGAATATCGTTGTGCTGATAGTGAACAAGATGTTTGGTAGACAAACTAGACAAGTATTTTTCTTTCTGTTATTTTTTTTGTGGAAATGAGAATATTATTTAATATTTTTCCTAGTGGAAAAAATAAACTGTCCTCAGGAACTGTGATGGTTGGGTCTCAAAGTTATGCTCGTGACACATTCTTTAAAAAGGTTTGCAAATCTTGGTTATATTAGTTCATATTAATTATGTGATGATCACCTGCTTAAATATTTGTTCCTTGTAGAATTCAGTTTGCTCAGTGTATGCTCTCAGAACAGCATTATTATAGGCAGAGAATATAGCAAACCCCAGAAACAACAGAAAGATGTGCACAGAAAAGATCCAATGATTTACACAACCACTGATGGTGCATATGTGAAGCATCAATGTAGCAGGAAACTCAAATCAGGTTTTGGTGGAGGTTTCTTGCATTGATCTCTTCAGAGAGGCATATTCTAGCTACATGACCAGTCTGAACTTTCAACGTTCCCTCCACTCAAATTAATGCAATTACCAATCTAATTACAATTACTAAACGACACTGGCTGGTACATCTTGCTCTGAAACAACACAAGGGTCCGTACTCACACACCATCATTGATCTGTAGTTTATGCATCTCACAGCTCTGGGCAAGGGTCAATAGCTCTGGAGATGAACCACATCATCACTCCCTCAAATTAAAACTTTGGAGGTACTCTTGTCTACATAGTCTGACAATTCTGTTCAAGCATACAACATTTGACGGGAATTATGGATTCCAAGAAAAAAATACGTAATTTCTGTATTCCATGTTGCACCAAGAAAAATTTCTCTCCAATCTAAAAAGAATACTTTAAAATAAACTCATAACAAAAGAATACTTTTATATTTAGAGAATTTGTCATTATTGTACGCTATTTAGGCTCACTCTTGTCCAGTGACTTGATCACAGTGTCAATATATTCAATGCACTCTAAGTGCTTAATTAATATATGGAAGTAAGAATGGCACTGAACAGAAAAATACATATAATATATATAGATTATATAAAATATTTATTGGAAATAAATATTGCTAAATTCTTTTTCTGCAAACTAAAATAGTTATGCAGTACTTACATGGTGATATTGTGTATTATAAACAACATTATATATAGTCATATATATGTGATATCAGAAAAAATTATCATGGTATAAAGTAAACAATTTAATGAATTATGTTATTATTTTCTTTTTATCTTATAGCTGTGAGTCTGCACATCTGTGTATGTTGGGGAATATATATTAGAGTTGGAAAAAAATTAAGTGAGGATAAGAATAAATATGAATTAATGAAAAAATAGCACTGGATAATGAAATTTGATGCCTGAAATGTTAAAAATTGAGGGAAAGTTTTGAAAGTTTAACTCAGTGGGAAAGAATATTTTAATCATTTTTCTTGTCTTCCTCTTCCCCCTCTTCCATGTAGACTCTGAAGTAGCAAATATGAGTAGAAATGTCAAAGTGGCTTATGATAGTCACAGCCATTTCAGATCCCACTATATACCCCTGAAGTATGGTGATGATGAACTCTTGCTTGTTTCTTGGACTGATGTAATATTCATTATCTCCTCTCCACCATCTCTTTTATATCTTCTTGGTATCTCCGTTACTTTCAAATTTATTAATTTTTTGCAATTCAGTAAGACAATATCATAGAAGACCCAATATCATATCCCTCTAGCTCTAGACAATCCCATCAAACTCTGTCATTCATTGTAACTGGATCTTTGTAGTGTGCTAGCGAATTTGCATCAGTATGACAGCATTTATAGCCATGCTAATTTAGATTAGTTAGAAAATATTATGCAAGAGATCATGTATTAAAATGATACCAGTAGGGTTCAAATATGTAGTATAAAGTGTATTTCTTTGCCCACTAATTTGAACATTTCCATAGAAAATGGCTATAAGAAGCTCTGGGCATAATTTCTTTGTAATAAATTCCCAATGCTGCTTATTGCTTCTGATTTTCTTATTCTCCAGATGGCTAAACATTTGCACTCTATTTGTCTGTTATTTCACTAAGTGCAG